GTAACTCAGGCTGGCTTTTATGGCTTCAAATGGTTAGCTGTGCTAGCATGCCAGCTAGCTCGTTGCCGATGTGAAAGTAGTTTAGCACCTAGTATTTAAACTAGGGGTGTCAAACTCAGCTTAGTCGCGGGCTAATTTGGAGTTAGGTCTTCCCTGGGTGGGCCGCTATGACAGTGAAACCACAAATACATTACTTGCGCACAAGAAATTAAGAGATTACTAGTTTTGAAATCAGTCAATTATAATCCATCCATTCATTATCCGCTTTATCCTCACAAGGGTCGCGTGGGTTGCCGGAGCTTATCCCAGCTGTCTTCGGGCAGTAGGTGGGGGACATCCTGAACCGGTTGCCAGCCAATCGCAGGTCACACAGAAACGAACAAGCATTCGCGCTCACACTCACACATAGGGACCATTTTAGAGTGTTCAATCAGCCTGCCATGCATGTTTTTGGAACGTGGGAGGAAACCAAAGTACCCGGAGAAAACCCATGCAAACTCCACACAGGGAGGCCGGAACTGGAATTGAATCCGGTACCTCTGCACTGTGAGGTTGACGCGCTAACCATTGGACCACCGGGCCGCCCCGTGAACTATAATAGTTTGTTCAGTTATTGTTTAAGTGAGTATAAACCGGGTAACAAAATTATTGCAAAATCTCAACGTTATTTATTACACATGACAATTTGACATTTCGGGACAGATTTTAGCAAGTTGACACACATGATTTGCTTTCGTTGTGCCAAACAAAATTACCTGGCGGGCCGGATCTGGACCCCGGGCCTTGAGTTTGACACGAACAATTTAAACCATTAAAAATTTGTGACTATCTGACATTTGTTCAATAATTTCTTCGACCAATATCCGCCAACATGCGCCTTCCACCCACAAAAACTTGCCCTTGCCTTTGTGGCTTTCGGTTTGTCTCATCCATTCACAGGAAGCTGAGGAAATGACGGCACACTTTGTGGGTGTGAAATTTGACATTGTTCCCGTCAATCACCTTCCCCTTTTTGCCGTAATCTGGAATCGAGACGATTTCACACAGCGCTGTTGCTTCAGGTCAGCCACCGTCCGCATGGCTGGCACTGATAAGGACAGAAGTTGCAAACGTTGCTCAGATTATCTACTTATTTAAAAATAAATAAATAAAAGACTGAACTCCATGTTGCGAAAGTGGAAATTGTGTTTGGAGGTGTAGGAGAAAGAGGGGGTGTCATGTTGGCTTTGGTGAGGCTGACTGGAATAAGTGAGAGGCGATTGTTTCATCTCAAAAGGCTGCGTGGGTGTATGCAGTAGTGGTGGGCAAAGTGTGGCCCGTGGGCCACCTAAGACCCACCCAGCATTTACACCATGATTATTTTCGTATCCATTTATTTTGCACATTTCAACATTTTCCAGTCGTCTCCGATTTTAAAAGTAACACGTGGCCCTTGAGGAAGAAAGTTTCCCCACCCTTGTGTGTTGCAGAAAGGAGACTAAAGGTTACGTAGATATGCACAAGTACGCAATCCTTTTCCCTGATAAACACCACAAACCAAGGCTTGTGTGCGTGCGTGCGTCAGCAGTATCACGGCGAGCCCACCTGCTGACCTCAATACTCTGAAGGATGGGGCCGCGTCTGACGCCAGTGCTGACTCACCCCTCTCCAAACCGTGCGCACCGTCAACTAATTCCACGGCAGCTCACAAACAGCAGCTGCGGCGACACACAACACATGCCGTGCACCAGGTGGCACCTTTCTCTGTCACGGGGGCCCTCGTCGACGGGAATTCCATCTTTGGTTATGTGTCGACTGCTGTTTGTTGACTCAACAGATGTGGGAGTAGAAATGAAATTGGTCCCCAACTGTGCAAGTGAAACAACCCAATTAATGACTCAGACACTTCCCGATGTTGTCAGAAGGACTCAAGTGAAACAGTCTCCGGGAAAGTGGTTCTCTCCACTTTGGTCATCGCCACTTTGCCTCCTCTCCAAGCAGGGGAGGAGAGGAGAAGTGGCAGTAAAACAGGCCAAAATCCAAAATGTGATAGAAGAACAATTTTTTTCCCTGTGTGACTATCCATTCGGTTATGTGTCGACTGCTGTTTGTTGACTCAACAGATGTGGGAGAAGAAATTTAATTGGTCCCCAACTGTGCAAGTGAAACAACCCAATTAATGACTCAGACACTTCCCGATGTTGTCAGAAGGACTCAAGTGAAACAGACTCTGGGAAAGTGGTTCTCCCCACTTTGGTCATCGCCACCTTGCCTCCTCTCCAAGCGGGGGGAGGAGAGGAGAAGTGGCAGTAAAACAGGCCAAAATCCAAAATGTTGTGATAGAAGTACAATTTTTTTTTCCTGTGTGACTATCCATTCGAAAGTTAGTTCCAATTGTAACAGCCAAAACTGCCCAAGTACTCCATTAGACACTTTCTCACATCGACTCTGGTTGGTCGATGATAAACTCACTTACTTGTAACAGAATCAATCCATGGACTGCGGAAATTGCCCAAAGTTGGTACATCTATGGTTCATTTGCATTTTGCTCAGGTGGGACAGGGACAGTGGAAAACCAAAACAACACACACACAAAAAAAAAAAATCCTTTCTGTCACTTTGTAATGCACATTACTGCCACCTGCAAGACTGAAGTGCATAGGTATCACCTGACATGACCTGTTTTTTTGGCTGCGGTTTGGTTTTAGCCTTTTGTGGAGGTGTGCACTCTCCAATCTACTCGTTACTTGCCGTTGTGTCTTTAATACTCTTTTGTTTTCTTGTAGTGTTTAATGTGGTGGGGGAAACTGGGAAAAGTCATAATTGTAACAGCACCCGAAAGGGTGCTGTGGCACAGGTGGAGGTAATCGGACCATCTGGAACATTCCGTATGCGAACACATGGATCTCGCTGGATGTTCCGAGCTGCGAATCTGCTGCGCATCAGCGTGCGTGCGTGTGTCTGGAAATGCGTGTGTTGACTGGCCTATCGAGAAAGTGTTGGGCCCTCTGCTGCGGCTGTCAGTTGCCATGACGATGGTGGATGCGAAAGAGAGGCAGCGTTGCCAAGGGTAACGGGACTTCATTGAACACATCAGCGCGCACCAACGGAGCTCCGTGACCGGGACGTAGTTTGTGTGTGTGTGTGTGTGTGTGTGTGTGTGTGTGTGTGTGTGTGTGTGTGTGAGTGAGTGAGTGAGTGAAATCCATCATTCTGTTGGCGTGCAGGCTCAGCAGCATTCCCGTACACAACACTGACATGTCTGCGTTTATAAATATCCTCCGTGTAGCTTGCTTGTACCAGGCTGTGTCTTCTTGTATGTTCACATTAATGGTGGAAAAAAAAAACCTTAAAATGATTTATCAAACCTAGCCTTTTGAACAGGGGTGTGTAGACTTTTTCTACCCACTGCTGTATTTTTATTTTAGTATTGGTCACCGCCCACATTTTGTTTTTTTGGTCTCCAGGTTCGCCGTCATCGCTTCTGGCTGTGCCAGCTGCCCCCGGCTGGTGTGCCGGCGCGAGGGCTGTGGCGCCGAGTTTTGCTACCACTGCAAACAGGCCTGGCACCCCAACCAGACCTGTGACTCGGCCCGCCAGCAGAGGGCGCAGTCGCTGCACACGCACAGCACCCACTCGCCAAGCTACACCCAAGAGCAGGGACCAGGTGACGAACGCTTTGAACCGGTGGTTCTCAAACAGCAAGCCGTACTTTAGAGATGTGCAAAAAGGATCTCATACACTTTTTTTTAAAACTTAATTACGGTGGTTCTCAAACAGCAAGCCGTACTTTAGAGATGCGCAAAAAGAATCTCATACACTTTTTTTTTAAAACTTTGCCTAATTACCCGAGTCATGGTTCAGCCTTTTTGGGTAAACAAGAAAAATATACAACAAATTCAGTGTCCAGTTGTCTCGATTCAAACCTGAATGATTGAGAACCTGCACAGATATCAAGAAATTTGAACTGATATTGTCACATTAAGTTAAAAATGGCATTGAGGATGCAAGTTACACAAAAGAGTGCCGGAGCATAGACAAAAACAAGACAAGCAAACACACACACACACACACACACACACAAACACACACACGCACACACACACACACACACACACACACACACGTCAACTTTGAGCTACAAGGCCAAAATGACCTTTAAAGGGCAGCAGGTGTGTTTCCAGCATCCTCATTTCAAACAAATACACTTGACATGCTAAGCTAACCGGCTACTTGCTGAATCATCTTGCATTACCTCCACCAAGGAGCTCTTGTTTTCAATTCAATTCATTTTTGTGTACAATTTTTGGTCAAATTCCAGATCAGACTTTAATTGAATTCTTCATGCCATGGTCACAAATTCAATCCAGCTATTGATAATGATGTATTTTATGTAGAGCCTTTTTGGCCACTGAAGGACACCGTACAATGTGTTAAACAACACAGAAGTAACTGCAACTACTGAATAAAAATACCAAATCACAACATTCATAAAAATTTGACGTCCGATTTAGATTAAACCTATTCATTTGAATTTGTTGTCAGTCGTATTCAGATGGTGCATTCGGTTGACCGATTTGTCTCATGTGTGATGTGTGTGTAGCGGATGACATCAAGCCGTGCCCGCGCTGCGGCGCCTACATCATCAAGATGAACGACGGCAGCTGCAATCACATGACGTGCGCCGTGTGCGGCTGCGAGTTCTGCTGGCTGTGCATGAAGGAGATCTCGGACCTGCACTACCTGAGGTAAGCTAGCCGCAGTTTTGCAATCCTCATCCATATGACAATGCAGAAATAAATGCGACCGTTGGGTCACAAGTTTAATCTGGATTTGATCTAGATTGCCCATTTAATGATAGCTTTTACCCAGAGACACCTGAAGCAAACCATATTGGTTTTATATCTAAGATCCACTAACTTAATGTTAACATAATGCAAAGCATGAGAGACAGGCTAATGGAAATTAGCACGTGTAATCTGGATTTGATCTAGATTGCCCATTTAATGATAGCTTTTACCCAGAGACACCTGAAGCAAACCATATTGGTTTTGTATCTAAGGTCCACTAACATAATGCAAAGCATGAGAGACAGGCAAATGGAAATTAGCACATGCAATTTACCCTTGCATGTACAAACTACCCCCGGTGATCTTATTGAGAAATAATGTTTTGAGGTGTCACATTCACTCTAATAATTTTTCTTTGAACCTAAAAAACTTGGTGCGATTGTCAAAGAAGAAGCAATTTGCCTTAGGACGTGTACATTTTTTCATCCATGGGTGGATATGAAATTATATTTTAGTATTTACGGGTTCAAGGCTTGACTGTATATGTTTTACATCCCCATGCCCTGCACACGTACCTTAATTCACTCTAATAATTTTTCTTTGAACCTAAAAAACATGGTGCGATTGTCAAAGAAGAAGCAAATTGCCTTAGGACGTGTACATTTTTTCACCCATGGGTAGATATGAAATTATATTTTAGTATTTAGTATTCACGGGTTCAAGGCTTGACTGTATATGTTTTACCCCCCCCCCCCCACACACACACACACACACACGTACCTCCATCCGCATCCTGCTTCTTCCGCCGCAGCCCATCTGGCTGCACCTTCTGGGGCAAGAAGCCGTGGAGCAGGAAGAAGAAAATTCTGTGGCAGCTGGGCACGCTCATCGGTGCCCCCGTGGGCATCACGCTCATCGCCGGCATCGCCATCCCCGCCATGGTCATCGGCATCCCCGTCTATGTTGGCCGCAAGGTGAGAAGCACGTACGGTCGACCTCATGAGCAGCTTAAGAGGCAGTCAAATGTGGAATTGCTTTGAGTCTGCGAAATGAGGCCTCATTCGTCCCAAAAAGTGAATAAATCCGCCATTCAGAGTTCTTAAAATTTCCACAAACACAATGACCGCTATATTTTATTTGGAGACGGCACTGATTATGCGCTCCGCAGATCCACGCTCACTACGAAGTGAAGAAGACGTCTCGCCACCGCAGGAACTTGGCCATCACGGGCGGCGTGACCTTGTCCATCCTCACCGCGCCCGTCATCGCCGCCGTCAGCGTGGGTGAGCAATTCGGCAGAAAACCGAACCACGACAACACTTTCGATCTAATTCGAAGGTTAACATTCAGAACGTGGCCGCGTTCGTGTACTCATCTTTTGGTCGCTCGTCAGGCATCGGCGTGCCCATCATGTTGGCGTACGTTTACGGTGTGGTGCCCATCTCGCTGTGCCGAGGAGGCGGCTGCGGCGTGAGCAGAGGGAAGGGCCGGGGGGTGCGTATCGACTTTGACGAGGACGATGGGCCGATCACAGGTGAGGAGGACCTCCACCTGGTGCAAAGCCCTTTGAGCATTTCGTTGATCCTTCCATCCGTGATAACCAATTTAAGTTGTATGTGTACTAGTGTGCACTTTGTCCTTACTAGTAGGGCAACTCTAAATAAAACAAATACGACGATAGGAATTATTATATTAATATAGAATATTGTCTGACTCAGTGGCAGATGCGTGGCGAGCTCTCAAGTCGCCAAGCCTTGGCGAGAGCAGCCTGGACGGTGCGGTGAGCGGCCTAAGCACCACTTCCCCCAGTGAGGGGCTTTCGATGGTGCCGGGGACCGTCGGGGAAGCGCCCCACTTCAACACCCTGGCCGGCGGCGCGCTGGGGGCCCGTGCCGGCAAATACAGCAGGTGAGGAGGACGGCGCTTGAGACGGTTTCGGATGACGTCAGAGTGCGCTGTGTGCGCATGAGCCCGGCGTGGAAGGTTTACCACATGAGTTGTTTGCGTGCCCCGCTCCAGGCTGGAAGTGCAGGCGGGAGAGCTGGCCAAGGAGTCGGCCCAGAAGGAGACGGGGAGCTTGGGGGCGGGGAGCGACTGTGCCAGTACGCGCGGGATGGCCGGCTCCATCATCTCCTCCTACACGCTGCCTGACAGGTACATCATTTTTTTCTGTCTGGGTCTTGTGGTTGCCCTCCTCTGATCATGAAGATCCTCACTTTGGCTTCTTCTGTTGTGGTGGGTGACGCCCCTTAGGGAGTGCACCAACCTGGAAATCCAAGTGGACATTGAGACCAAACCCAGCCACCTCTGCCTGACCAGCGAGGAGGACCTTGCTCCAGCCGCCGCCGCGAGCGCCTTGGTAGGGGAGGAGCCCCTGGACTGCAGCTCCAGACGAGGCGGCGCTCCGGGCCTGTCGCCGGGCGGCTCGGTGCGGGACAAGGACGAGGGCCTCCACGATGTCACTCTGGCTCAGCCCGAAAGCATCCGCAGCGACTTGGAGATGTCCGACACGCAGTCGGACGACATCGCCGAGCTGACGTCGGACGACTGCGACTCGCCCCGGCCCAAGGGACCGCTGCCCACGCAAGTCGCCTCGTGCCGGGCCATGAGCACCCCCACTGAAGGCCTTCACTGTCCCGCCGACGCCAACGTCATCCTGTATGTGTGAGATGCCGGAAGATTTGAAAAGTTTTTGAGCATTTCTTCCATATCCTGGATATCCATCTTGAGATCTACTAGTCCAAGTCTTTGTCCTCACTGGTAAGACAATTTGGCGCGCTAGTAGACCGACTGAATATCAAGCATATTCAATAAACGCTCAAATGTCTTTTCAAAGACAGCAGCTCTCAGGAACGCACAACAAACATTCTGACCTCCCTTAATGTTGTTTTTTTTTTCCCTGTTGTTTTTTTGTTTGTTTTCTTTCCTGCTTTTTTGCCTCCAGCAGACGTGCCACCCTGGCGACCGGCTGACAATCTTCTCATTGTCAGAGTTCTACCTCTGAGATTTATATGTGCGTGTTTACTCCCTGGGATAAAATGCCTTGGCTACTACTTAATTTGGGGGGGAAAAAAACAAAAAAAAAGAGGTACAAGTTTTCCACACAAGCAGGTGAAACCTGGCGCACAGCCCCAGCGGAAGTGGAAAAAAACCATGCGTGTAACGTGTGTGTGTGTGTGTGTGTGTGAGAGAGAAAATGAAAGAAAAACTGTGGCTTTGTTTTCCTCCTCCTGCTCTGTTCAACTGTCGCTTGCTGTGTGCGCATGAGCCCGGTGTGGAAGGTTTACCAACGTGAATGCACAGCAAATACACAAAAGAAATTTCTGTAGATGACTACTACACTGTTTATTGAGTAAGTAATATTATGACACCGATGAGAGCCACACAGACTTTTGGGCGGTGCAAGCGCAATGCAGTGGCGCCTCTAGAATCAAGTGACCACACTTCAATTTTTGAGATACCGGCTGTCGTTTGACTATTTTCAATTTTTTTTTTTTTTTTTGCATTGACCTGAGTTAAATTCTGAGATACGAGTGCCGTATCTCGCAATACTCACGGGCTAATGTATATATATTTTTTTAATCCTCTGCAATCAGTGCAGTGAAACTATTATACTGCCCCCAAGTGGCCAAATTCCGCACAGCTGAAGGAGACGCAATGAAAGCGTTATGATGGCCAAACTGTCATGCTTTACATTTTATTTAATTATTAATGCAAGTATGATTTTAATTATTTTGTCGATTGGTAAATCTGATTTTCAATATGTTTTTAATTTCTACACCATTATTTAAAAAAAACAAAACGGGTTATTATGTCAAATGGATAGTGTAGAAAATGCACCAACAAACATGATCATTCATTTCCTGGTTTGGTCCGCAACATGTCAGGAAATAGGCCAAAATGTTTCGTATTCTTTTCCAAAGTAAGAGCAAATTTTTATTTTGATCCAACGCAGAGCTCAGTGTCCTTTCATTCTCAAGGCACCACTGTATTTGTATCTGTGAACAACAAAATGATGTTGACGGATGTCTGCACATACCTGAAGTTGTCACTGTGTGTGCGTGTATTTAACTGGTTCGCATATTGGATTATTTTTTTTCTTTTTGCTGGTTTTGAATGCGCACTTTTGCACTTTAACCAAGCTTGTCTTTTTTTTCCGTTGGTGGGGGCTACTCATCATCGTCTTGATCATCATCATCATGCGTTTGCATTTAAAGGAGACGTATGTGTCCCCCCCCCGCCCCCCACTACACACACACACACACACACGAACAATTCAAAATGGTTTGTAATTATCTTATGACTGTTGTGACATTCTTTGGTCAAGAAAGTCCAAAGATAAAAAAAATAAAACACACTTTAGACACATTACACAGAGTGTGGAAGGGAAAAAAGGCCATTGACAAGTGGAACATTTTCATTCATGGAGTCAGCACTTAACACACTATACTGTGTGTATGTGGCACATTGGCATGTTGTTGTTTTTTTGTTTTTTCATTATTCAATATCTCCCCTGAATTTACATGCAACCAAATTCAAGATCACACCAGGATGCCTTTTATGTTTGACGTGACTGAAGTGTTAATCTCCAAAACCTTTTTTTGTGGTTCACTAATATTTTGTGCGTGTGTGTATGTGTATATAATGCTTTTAATTGTGATTTTGGAGGTAAACACTGATGGTCGTCTTAATCATTCTCACTGGCCTGAATTATTTCTCGGCTTTGTGCTTGCCTATGAACTGGAGTGGGGGGTGACACGCTTCTTGGAGTCTGCGTGGAATGTTCCTCATGTCCGACGTGCAACTTTTCGTCTTCGGCTGCTTGTTTCATTTGCTGCACTTTTTACTCATTTTTCTCCTTGCCTGAGATAAAGCACTCGAATGTACCACGGGCCTGTACCTTAGCGACCAAGCGTCTATTGGAGATATTTGGGTGAAAACAAGATAGATTTAGCAATATTTGAGTGTAACTAAACCGCTCTTCTACTTCCTGTCACTGTCAAAGTCTCACCCTGGCGTGAGGATGCAATTGCAGGACTGTGAATGACCTTTTTTTTGGGGGGGGGGGGGCGAAATAAACACAATCGGATGTTTACCAAAGCAGTGTTTCATTATTCACTCTGTGTATCCATTTTTAATCAGTGCTTCACTTTTTCCACATTCCAAAATGGAATACATTCATCCCCGACCCGCATAAAATTCGACACAAAGCATCCTCTAACTTGTTTTGTGCAAACGTATTACAAGTAAAAATAAGTAAAATAATAAAAAGCGCTTTTTTGACTGGCTAATTATTTGATTCATTTATTCAATTCATTATATTTTTTGTGAGGGGATTTGGGATCTAAATGAACCTCCAGCACTGAACAGTCAAACAATATTCTACATGGCTCACAGGACGAAAAGAATATGGTCGGATATATGGAGCGAATTAACTAAACGAACAACGAGCGATCTCACAGTTTCGTTTTAAACTATTTTGTACTTGTGACACGCATTCTGCTTGATCCATTTTTGTCCACTAGGTAGCAGTAGCGTACGACTATCGCGACATATATTTCACTTTACGACAGTCGCAAAGCAAAACGGTACAACCGGGGGAAGGTTAAATTGACGCCTATAATACACGGTAATATGATGTGATTCCGTTTTATGATGATATTGTAATGTTAAGTCCGAGTTTTCGATTGGAAGTAGACTTCAAGTTGAGCTATTACTTTCTGTCAACGTACAAAATGTACTTGAGTCGCTGTTCGCACGACATGTCATTGACAGGGGACTGTTTGGCTAGCTGTCGTGCTCACATACTTGTTAGCCGACATTTTTGAAACTATCATTCATATTTTTGTGCATAAAGTGGTTGTAATAGACAATTTCATGACGATTGGACCTTGCCTTGCGAGTCTTAAAACATAAAATTGACTTAACCCTTTCGGCGGAGGAGGTTTTTACAATGAAATATTCGTCATTGTGATTTTACCGTGACCGGCAACTCGCCATCTCGCGTTCGATCGCGCGAGAAACTGGAATTGTATTCTTTACGCGTTAAATTTTCTACATTTAAACAAGTTTAACACGCAATTTCTACACTTGATAAGATGTAAAGTGTCTTCTGCTGGCGTACAGACACGCGAACATTCAAAGCACTGCAGAAATGTGTCAGGGTTATAGTTAGTGTTTGGGTTAGGTTTGTAATGCCGACAACAGCCCATTTTCAGTGACAAACCACATTTTAGAATTTTATGTAAATAGACAGAAAGGGTTGAAACGAGGCAGGAACCACGCACCGTGCAGAACTTACTGCAAAATAGCAAGAATCCTCGGTCCGGCCAATCAGTCGTTCATGGCTTAATTTAATGCTCGGAGTACAGTTAGCTGTCACGGTAAAATAACCACTGGTGAAATAATTGTTGTTATCTCTTGGACCAAATCAGCAATGTTTTTTTCCTAAACAACTCTCATTGACATCCCCAGAAATAACAAACATTTTTTACTTATATTTCTTTACAGATAATCCCAAAAAAGGTTTCTCTTGGGAAGTGTGTTTTTATTTATTTATTTATTTTTTGTGTACCTTAGAGTGGGCTATTTCGTTCCTCAGCACGATGCCGTTCGTGGACCTGCAGTCGCGCCTGGGCGTGGACGTGGACCGCTGGCTGCTGCTGCAGAGTGGGCCGCAGCCTAACCAGCGGGCTGCGCGTTGCCACGCCTTTGAGAAGGAGTTGGTCGAGTGTTCCCACGGCATTGGGGCGACCCGCGCCAAGCGAGAGTGCCGGCTGGAGTTTGAGGACTTCTATGAGTGCATGCACAGGCAGAAACTGGTAGTTATTGATGCCTTGCTTTTTTTGTTTTTCCCCAACTGCAGAGGGTAGAATGAAAAAAAACCCCAATTCGGATTCTGTCCTTGTTTTCTTGCCGTTGCAGCACAAGCGTTTGTACACCATCCGCCAGCAGCGTGACAAGATGATTAAGGAGGGCACGTACACACCGCCTGCTCACCACACAGGCCAGAGTGGCCAGTCCGACCCGTGAACACCGGGTCACCACTCACCTGCCCGCACCTCAATTGTCATCGTGTACAGTAAAAAATCTTCCTCTCCCAGTTAATAAAAATAAGTCTTTCCTTCTACTCTTCATTTTCTGTCCTTGAATGTTTCTATGGCAAGGCAGACAATGTTTATAATCAGTCTTGTAACTTAAAGGGGAAAACACTGCTGTTTAGAATAACTCTGGTCAACATTTTTTTTTAAATCAGAGATGCAGGTAAAGTAAACTGTTAATGATTTTTTTTTTTTTTACTGATTCTTAATCTGCCCTCAGGTTTCAAAATAATAATATCACAACAAAATAATATGTAATATAGTTATAGATTTATGAATTAAGGGTTAGGCTCAGCAACAGGTGGTAGCCATAAATTAAAACACATGGGAAAATAAATCTTGTGCAAGCTTGTTTAGGTCAAATTTCAAAATAAAAATATCTGAAAAACATGATGTGATAGAAACAAAGGGCATTTTTGTACTATAATCAGTATCAACGACGTTTCGGGACCATCAGATTAAAATTGACTGTTGACCAGGGTAATTCTTTCATAACTTCTACAATACATCTTTATTTATATAGTGCTTACATGATTGTCTTTCAAATGTTGTTCTAAATACTGCTACCACTACTACTATATTAATCAAACAGAATTACAAATTCTGGTTATTATAGAATGGTACAAAATTTAATGGCAAATTCATTACCTATTCAATTGTTACAGTTATTATAGAATGGTACAAAATTTAATGGCAAATTTTTTTTTTGTAACAATTGAATAGGTAATGAACCTATTCAATTGTTACAAAAAATCATTTCGTAGAACGCCACAAGATGGCGCCAGAAGCATTTTTTTTGTGCATCTTTCGTGATTTCCATTCATGTTTGACCCCAACTGCTTTTCCTCGCGAGAGTTTTGACAGAAATATTACATTAGGTTAAATTACCTAATTGGAGTACACAATTTTACTAGTTAACTTGATTATGTTGTCCTCTCTATCCGTTTTTTTCTCGTAATTTTGGACTCTCCTTTTAATCTGGGAATTTCAGGAATGTTTTTGAGGCAGGTGGCGCCTGGTTCCATGGACGTGGCCATCTTGAAAACTATTGCCAATTATTGGCAATAGTCGGAATCATGCTGAGTGCAACAAAGAACTGCCCACTAGATGTCACAATTGCAATTTAAATTTGAATTTGAACAGAATTTGTTTTGGTGTTCTCTTCTGCACTGACACAAGCCCCCGAAGAAAATGTATAAGCTAACATTACTTTCGCTACAACTGAAGAAAAATGAACTCGCCCCAAGTGTACCGAATATCGTGGCCAAACCAAACACGCACACAGCGGTGTGTGTGTGGTGGTGACGTCACATCGATGTGAACGATGAGTAACTGCTGCAAATATCTCAAGAAGTCCACGCCTTGCCTCTCACACACAACTGTGAAATGCTCCCACACACGTTTTAACTTGCATATATTTGTGAAACCCATGCTTTCACACATCGTACAGGAATGTGCTCAGAAATACTGAAAAACTATGGACTGAACCAGCATTTCACGGGTGTGCGTGCGCGTGCGTGGGCATTCGTGTGTTTTGTGTGTGTGTGTGTGTGTGTGTTTGAACGCTCCACTATCATATTTAAAATTGTCCCACATGTTTACGTTCTAAAGTATCTAAACACCTCCACTGCAAGCATCATCCTGACACAAAGAACGCGACGACTTGTGGAGGTGAGCAAACAAAATGTCACTTTTGCTCATGAGAGCGTTTCACTTTTGTGAGTGGAAAAAAATGTCAAGTTATGTATGAGAGCGAAACCCCACCTAAACAGTAATGTGTGAGAGGTGATCCTGAATGACAGTACAGTTGTCCCTGACGGCCCCTCATCATTTTTTTCCCCGTTCCAAGAGATTCGACGGGAAGACGTCGAGCGTGCGCGTGCGTGAGCGATTTTTGTCCGCGTTCACGCGGACAGGGTCACGCAAGATGACGCGGCAGGAGGAGCCCCGGCAAGCCCACTCCGGCACCAGGCCCACCCCACAAATCCCCGTGACGACATGTCCGCCGCCAGCAGCCCCGAAAAAGCAGCCGCCGCCCGGCCGCTGCTAGCCATGGGTTAACCCCCGAATGGAAAGCAGCCTAGCCGGTCGACTGTGCGCGTGACCAGGAGAGGGCGAGAGAGCTCTAGAGGAGGTGGTAGTGGATGAGGAGGAGGAGGAAGTGGACCATTAGCACCATCACCACTTTCGCTTTTTTTTATTTTTTTTTTTTTATTCTTCTGCACAGCACGTCGGATCCAGCCGAGAAGCGGAGGGCATTTTTCTTTAGCCATTCGGAACCGGAGGAGGAGGGGAGCAGCGGCGGCGGCAGCAGTAGTTCTACCGGCCTTCCAAGCTCGCAACCCGGCTAGGCTGTAGACCACCGCTGCCCGCTGAAGGTAAGACGCTCACTGAGCTCACTCGGACCGCTTTCAAAGCAACCAGCTCCCGTTCTTAGCGTCACCGTAAGATGAATTCTAATGGCTTTGGAGCCATTTAAATGACATTTGGATTCAATTAGGGCTGAAGACATTATCAGTCGTGGCGTGTTGATGAAGTGGCCTTTAATTTGAAGCAATGTGTTGATCGTTTTAACAATCACTCATCTTCATCAGTGTCACAACATGATGCTTTCTGGCTGGAATTGTACCCAAGGACTGCGTAGTCAATTGTTTTGCAGAAACTGCACCCATACACAGCCTTGACATTGGACACATACACAGTTGCATAAATTGCGAGTCCTAAACTGAATGAAGGGAGCAGTTCCACAACACTTGGGTTATGAAGGCACTTGAGCACATGTCCAGCACAAATGGATAAATCCAATCCGCGGCGTGGACAAAAGAGACCACAGTTAGACACGCACTGTGTCTCCCTCGCTGTCTGTCTCCGTGTCCACTCATGCAAAGCACATTCACATTTGAGAGTGGAATGTGTCCACCCCAAGCGAGACTCGTTGGCTTGCATGACAGAGCATCCGGCTAGGCGGCCATGCCACATAGGTGGTAAGAGGAACTCAAATCCTCCTGACAAACATCAACGCTTCCGACTGCTTGGTGACACAGAGAGACGCTGAGCTCCTGCAGCTTGGTAGCAGATGGTCAAACACAAGCCCAAAAGTAGACACACACCATCACCAGTATAACTGGAGCACAAACCAATGCTGTGGAGGTTAATTTGACTTTGTAACACCTCCTAATTGCTCATATTTGCATTTTCCCCACCATTGGGAAGAATGGAGAAAAAAACGTTAACAAATGTCATTAAAATAATTGAAATAAAAATGAAAAAAATTGCATTTCCGAAACAAGTGTTGAATATTTTTCACATTAATTGAAATACATAATTGTGAATTCAACATGACATGAAATATAATTAAAATTACATTTTAGGAAATTAATTTCTGCATTTCAAAAAATAAATGTGATTAAAGTATGAAGAAATTCAATGTTAGTACCGTTTTACAAAACAAATTGTTTAAAAAATTAATTTAGTCTAACATTTTTTTTAAATAAATAAAATTAAATTAAAATGTTGAAATGTGCCTTTCCCTCATTTGAAAAAAAACCCAATCTAAACAAAATCACATCAGTGAGAAGGAATACATATTTGTTGTCCTTCTTAATTAAAAAAAAAACACCATAAATTAAATATAATCTAGAAGATGCAGACATGTTGCTTAACAGACACAAATACTTCTTCCTAGTGAGATCGATAGGGTCACATGTTGCTAGGCAGAATTTACGGGGCAAGATAGGATGCCGTTTTCCCCACAATTTGGGTTAAGATGTGGCAGGAAATAGCCTCGCAAAGTCAAAATAGACACACGCTAACGGAGTACATTGAAAGGTCATTTCTACAAGTTGCACGGTGTAGAATGTGTTGGGAATGAGCTGGAGACAGACAGCAAGTGATGTCACTGTGGCGGTCCCCGACCAGTAGAACTTTAATGACAGGGTTCGGGTTATGAAGTTTCCCAACCGCGTCGCTATATTTACACTGACGTTGACTCACTCTCTTTTACACCCAGAAACTCACACACCAAACACAGAATTTAGAAAATAAAACACACAGAACCAGAACTAAGATACCAAAAATTCAGGATTTTTCACTATGATGTCATAGAGACCTAAACACACACCAGAAATAAATACCTGAACATGCTCCAGAAACCCAAATCCAAGTACACAAATTCCCAGGCTGCAGATCACCACCAAACTTGGTGACCCTCTTTGTACCATCACCATGGTGACAGTTTTTCAGGAAGTGGTGCTCAAACCATGTTTTATCCAAAAACCTCCATGTTTAGTCTACGACTTCACCATGTACACAAAGACTACCTTTAAAGTCTCTTTGGAAGCATGACAAATCTTTCAAACGTGTTAAACATTAGCGGGCGTTAGCATATTTACTGCTGCTAACCTCATTTAAGCACTTTAATAGCCACCTTTCGACAGATTAGCATATGAGCAATCTGACACGGAAGAGACCGGGGATGCGAAAGCTCTTCAAGAAGCTCTTTCATTGACTTGATGGGATACAATTTCACTGGCTATTCATTGTCATTGATTTTCTTCCACAACTGATTGGCTGATGTGAGGATGGCGCCTCAGCGTACACACACACACACACACACACACACACACACACACTGGACACTTCACTCGGTACGGTGCATCAGCGAAGTATTTATTGTACAGCGCTTGACGTCCTATGTGACAGCCTTACTTCAGAATGGATTAACTTCAATTATCCCTTTAGAATTTCACGCAAAAAAATCAGATTTTTTTTTTTTCAACTCTCACTTGTTACAAGACCCAAGCCTGTTAGCTTGTGAGCTAATTACTTGCTAGCAGCTATCGTTGCTAGCAACAAGTGACATATATGACGAGGATTTTTATATATATATTTTTTTGACCAGCTGTGTTGCTGGCACCAGCGAAGGTCAACTATACTATCAGACTGGGAAAAAAAATGTCACAATACACATTGTGTTGATTTTGGATGTAATATCCTTAGTATGTACCAATTCTGACCGGGAAATGATTTTTTTCCTGAAATAATTCTGTTCTTCTTCTTGTTGCATATACAAGCTCACAAAGGGTGACTCTTTGCTCTCCTCTTCCTCCCCCAGCAGGCCCGACACCCCCATGGAGTCATCGGACGACGACACCCTCAGCGAGCGCTCGTGCGTGAGCGAGCCGTCTTTTCGCAGCGAGCGCTCGGAGGGCTCGCTTTCGCCGTGCCCCTCGTCGCTGTACGCCAGCGCCCCAGGAGATACGCTGCCTTGGAACCTGTCCAAACACGAGCGACGCAAGCGCAGGAGCCAGGATTCGGTGTTGGACCCCGCGGAGAGGGCGGTGGTCCGCGTGGCAGGTAAGGAGACTTCTGTTGGAATTTTGTCTGTGTCGAATTTGCCAGAAAAATGTTGATGTCATTGAGGGCTAGTCGTGTGAGGGTGAATTTGATTAAACTGACAGGGCAACAACATTGCTAAGTCAACCCCATGAAAAGCAATTTTCTTGATTTCCTTGTTATTTATTGGATTGTGCCATACAAGTTCGGAATTTCATCCTCGAAGACGAGTGTCAATCTTATTTTTGTCACTGGTCACATCGTAGTTCTGGTTTCCTTCAGAGGACAGTTATGGCTGTGAACCCAAATAAATGCACACTCGCCTCATACTACACAGACACAACAAACTGAGTTTTAAAAATTCAGAGACCAGTAAAAACTTTACAAATGTGATTGCATTTGTTTTAAGAAGGGGACTATGTAAACAATTTGCAATTTTGGTATTTTAGCAGGAAACATGAAGTTGATGCACATATTTTGCTTTTGCGGGCCGCATGGAATGATGTGGTGGGCCAGATCTTGCCATCGGGCCTGGAGTTTGACACCTGCGTAGTTGACGCAACACTATTTATTTTTATTTTTTTTTTACCAGATTGTAAAAATTCTCTTTTTTTTTGGGATAAGGGAGCAATTTCATATTGTTAGTTTCCAAAAGAGCCATTTATTGGCTAACTGCACTCCAGTGGAGCAAATGAATGACACAAATTTGATTTTACGAAGTGGAGCTACCCTCAATCCGGAGCCTCCTGAACATGACCTAGCAGTCCCATGATGCAGAATTATCCCGACTAGTGGTCCTAACGTGTCAGGATTGTTGGGCTCACTCAGGCTTGAAGCTTCGTTGTGTCTCCCTATTTGCATCTGGCCGTATCATGGGCGATCGGGACGCATTTGCGCTGACCCCGATGCCCGTGGGGACAATGGCTGGAATGCGGACCAGGAATCCTTTAGCAGGCCACGTGATTGACAGCTCAGATATTTACACGGAGACACAGCAAATTACCAGGACCCCGCACGTCGACGCCGGCTTGTCATTTAGGCGTCCTCCGTCCCGCCTGCAGCGTTTCTTTCTCAACAGGCAGCCTCTGTAGTCCCCTGTTGCCATGGTGACATGGTGTCCCTTTCCCTCCCCGCTCCGCCTGTTGCCATGGTGATGAAAGCATTGGTGGCGGGGGAGGACGAGGGTGACAGCGGGTATTAAAAGGGGGCACAGAAAAGTGAATGAGTAGGGAAGGCGAAGAAGGATGTGGAGGAGTTGACTTTTTCAAGGCAAAGTTGAGGAGAAAGGTTGATGAAGTGAACCTTGGAAGGAAGGAAAGTTTGGATAAGAGTTGAGAGAAAGACCTTGGGGGAGGTTTTGTCGTTGGGAATGTGGTACAGAAAGCAAGGTTTGGTTGACCATTGTTGTCATTTTACTCTGAAATATGTTAGGAATGCTCGTGAAGAGTTCACATTTTGTGGTTATGGTGTTTTGGGTGAATTTCTCTCCCTCTAGTTTGCATTTCGATCCTATCGTCTCCAACTCCCGCATATCAAACTATCAATCAGCTGCACTTTATGACAGTTGGATGTGATTATAATTTGAGCGCTTCATACTGGCCAGCCGCGACTGACAAAAGACGGGTATGATCATGTTGATCATAATTATGACAGTGACAGGTGTGTTCAAAAAAAAACTCAAGACAATCTACTTTGCTTTTTGTTTTGCAATAAAACACAACACCTTTTAAATATAAGGTTAACTACATCTAAATCGTTAATAATAATAATAATAATAATAATACATTTTTTTCCCCACATCTCTGGCATAGTATATGACACACTTCTCAATGCACGGTGACGACAATGCGCCTTATGTATGAATCTTTACGTTAATTGCTTTTGGATTAATGACATAATCTCTGTGTTGTTCATTGTCGAAGCTGCTTTATGGAGATTATCCGATGCTGGTATAAAGGACAGGACAGAAAGCCATTCAGTTCAGGAGGCCACGGAATAGCAAATAGGTCACCAAGTCAAATAAATATAGCAGGATGCATATGGATTTAGAGTTAAGTTCCGTCATTTAGACTTTAGGTGGCGGTATATACCCTCAATTCAATTTGTAGCCTAGTGTTGCCTTCATTGTCAATCGGAATTACGAAGTTCCTCAGAGCAACCTAGCCAAGTTCTTCAACGTTCATTCATCCATCCATCCATCCATCCTCCTATTATTGAGTCTTCATGGTCATGCAATACCGCTTTTGGCCTTGTAGGGGGCACTACAGCTCCATCTTTCCTCAGATCCTTTTTAGCCAGCCGGCTAGTTTGGCGTGCTAGTTAGACACATTTGGCCAGCGGGCTTTGAGATTCCTGCGGCGGCGCCGGCGCTTCCTGACGTGGCCGGCAGAGAGGGATGGAAGACAGCTACGGCAAGCCGAGCCGAGTCCCAGCACGCAGCCGAAGAAAGAGACTCTCTCAAAGGCAGGCGGTGAATTCCGAGGTCGGCGTGTGAAGCAGCCATTTGCGGCCGGGAAGAAGCCCCAGGAAGCACTGGAGCGGCTCGCTGACGTACGCAGCCGGTGAGAGGAAGCGCGGGTCCGGATACAATTTGGCCCGATAAATCCCCCACCCCCCCACCGCTTTACCGGGTTGGAAACGGACACTCTCCCAGTTCGACGTGTCTTATTTGGGGCGTGTGGGCTGCAGCTGCGTCCCCTCAGCGTCCGAACAGCTGTCGCCGGTTGGATGGTGATATATTTCAGGAGGGACTCCTCGCCTCGGAGGGAGACTGTGCGCGTGTGTCGGCGCGCACCGACCAGCACGCTGGTGATGGATAGATAACATTTATGTAACCTCCATTGTACATTTTCCACCCCCCGAAGACTTTTTTTGTGCTTTTATTGACTATTTGACGGGATTATACCGGGCCGAATGCAACGAGCCCGCTCGTAATTAGGACGCCGAGGAGAGGGAGACGTTTTGCCAGCAAGTGAACCGGCGGTGCGGAGCCACTGCGGTAGTCCGACGCTCAAAGCACCATGGCTGGATTCATACCCGGCCTGCTACCGTCCAATCACTCCCAGGAGAAGCAGTTTGCCCAGGCCTACGAAGATGTCCTGGAACGGTATAAAGGTAACTATTATGGCTGGAGGAGACATGGGTTACTTAATTAGATGGACACCCACTGAGCTTTGGGAGCAGTTTTGCCTTGACGCATTACTGAGCTGTGTTCATTTTTTTGGTCGTTTTGCAGGAGAGTGATTTCAAAGTTTTATAGTTTTATGTCTTGTTGAATAGTATAAATATGATTGAGTGTTTGTTTTAACAGAAATTGAAGTTTGAGTTTGGTGTTTTGGCCAAATGTAATGATTTTGATCATACTGCATACTTGATATTGGATCATACTGCTTACTATTTTTCATGCAACTGAGGAGCTGTCAACATCATTGTCAGTATCATTGCTTGGAAGACAAGGAACAATCTGAGATTAGGAAAAAAGTTTGGTGCAATATAAAGACGTATGTAATTTGCACAGGCACTAGCACCCAAGCTTAAATCTGAACAGAACTTGAGTTCCTTTGATGTTTTTGCAGAAACTGAAAACCAGGGCCTTTTTGAACTCTTTGAATTCTCGTTTCTGCTTTGGAAGTTTTCTTTCTTTCCCTCATGGCAGTGACATTTAAAACGTGGTTGACAGACTTCCCGAAGATGCTTGAGTCATACGATTAAAAAAACAGTCATTTAAAAAAAATAGTCATATAATAAAGTTTTTCTCACAAGTGAAGAAATGTTCCTTCAAAGCAAAAGGAAATAATTTTTCAGAGGCCGGGGTAGAGCCTCAGCAATACTTGCCGTTGCGCGACGAAGTCAGTTAGGAAAAGCGGAGTCGAATTCGTTTGAAACAGCGCTGACCCTTCCTGTGGTGGAAAGGAAATACCTTTTTCATCTCTGCTGAACCCGATGATGTAATCCAACAAAGGAGAAGGAAAGATGGCATAAAGGTTCGGAGATTTGACTTTCTGAACGCGGTGTTGTGGGTGCAGCCATCTTGGAAATGGGAGTTGGCCCATTGTGGCGCAGATGAATTAAGGACTGAATCTCGATTGCATGAACTTAAAATGACAAAAATGGAGCTAATATGACAATGCTCACTTGGGCAGTATTGGTGGCGGATATGAACTGAAATATGAATGTCAGAATATCATTTGATAGAGTCAATTCTTTGCCGAAGTGCCTAATATGATCCATGGTCCACCCTTCAAGATGAAATGAGCATTTCAAAAAAATCCATGGACTGAAGTTGCATGTTTGTGGTCATTCCAGCGCAAGAGAGATTTTTTTTTTCCTCCTTCCATTGTGCATATTTTTGGATAAACAACCTACCAGTACTGTCTAGCTCCGCTTTGGCTGCCCTTTTCTTCCTTTTCTTAATCACTTGTGTACTTTTGGATCCACTGGAGGAAGCACTTTGACGGAGTCTCCCCCGCCCTGGCTAACATTCGTCACCTTGTGTTTGTGCTGTAAATATCAACGCCGCTGCCGTGCACGCCAGGGTAAACGTCCAGTGCTGAGAATTCCTTGTCAGGGGGGGACCCCCGCCTCTGCTTCAATTGACAGCCAGTAGGCTCGGGTCACATGTGTGATGAAATGCAACCAGGCGTTTGAATTATTGAGTATGCTAATGGAATAGAACTGCTCGATGTTTAACACGTGTGTGTTTCTCTGACTTTTAGATTGCTGTTTATGCACCCTGGCAACACTTTGCTTGTCCTTCGGTGAAGTTTTCTGTTGAAGAAAAGGTTTTATTGGGAAGGGGGTGCTGGGAGCAGAATGTTTTCTCCATTAGCTGCATATCGTAAAGTTGCGATTCTCAAAGTGGATGTTACGGTGACTTCAAGTTTTTAGAATCCAATACCGTTCAATTGTATTTGACTTTTAGGCACAGTCTGTTTGCATTTTAATCCTTTATTCAGCTAAAGTTTTTGAACTTTTATTTCCAATACGTTTTAATTGACTCATTAGGTACCGATAGGCTGCGC